TGCGTGAACGGGATTATTGATTTACATAAATACTAATTTTGGAACAAATATTTTTAGAAATGAAAAAAAATTGTTACCCAAAATAATTTAATTAGAGTTACACGATCCCCTTATGAAAAATATGTAATATAACGATATACTGCACTAACCTACATACAAATGGTTTATTTTGCTCTCCGATTTTTTATGAACAAAAATTAACTTACTTTATTAAAAAATGACCGAAGCGACAACTCCAAAACGAAAGCCTGGCAGTAAGCTTTAGAGTTTAATCCATAAATTAACCAAGTAGTATTTATGAAATAATCAAATTATTTAATGATTCAATTTTCATGATGTTTAGACTCTGCCTTTAAACAACAGCGTCTGAGTGCATGCCAACCAATTATAACACCAAAAACCGTATTTCCAATATTTATAGCAATTGCTACGATATTTTCTCCACTGGGTGGAGTCTTATTTTACTTCGATGATAAAGTGAGAATCTACATAACTAATAACGTATAATTCATGAAATTATTTATTAAGATAAATCTTTTCGGTTATAGGCTTTAGAATTATCCATAGATTATACACATTGTGATACGGAAGCGCTATTTGAATTCAGTTCAATACCTGTAAAATATGTAACTGATTCTATGATTAAATCCAAATCTATACCGGAAAACCAACAACATCCTAAATGGAAGAGATCGAGCATTACTATTCTTCCAAATAATAAAACAGTTACTCAATGTTCTATTCTTTTTTATATACATAAAGAGATGAAACCTCCAGTATATTTATATTATCGTCTAACAAATTTCTTTCAAAATGAAAGAGGTTATGCTAGAAGTTTAGATACTGATCAACTTAAAGGAAAAGCCGTAAATAAAGATGGTCTTAAACGTGGTGGTTGTAAGAATCTTGCGCTTTATAATAATACTATAATATATCCCTGTGGACTACTTGCGAATTCCATGTTCAATGGTATGCCTACTGTTCATTTAAAAATATGTTTTTAAAAATAAAATATTATTTAATATTTCATTATTTTTATATAGATACCATAGGAAACCTTACTTTGTTAGACTTAAATGCACCCGATGCATTGTCACTGAGTACAAATATAACATATAATTTTACTTATAACGGTATTGCACCACCTGGAGCAGCAGCAAAATATAAACCTACTACATATAATATTAGTCAAATTCGACCACCTTTAAATTGGGAATTAAGATACCCGAATGGTACATATACAGCCGATTATCCTCCAATAGATCCATCAACAGATGAACATTTTCAAGTTTGGATGCATACAGCTGGACTTCCAATTTTTAGAAAAACATATGGAATTAATGAAACTACACCATTACAAGTTGGATCTTATCAAATAAATATTAATACAGGTGAGATTTGTAATAAAAAAAAATTTCTTTTTCCTTGCAACCTTTATTAATTTTTATATTATACTAATAATATTTTTTGAAATATTAATAGTATTTCCTGTCAAAGGTTATGGTGGCACTAAATCCATAGTGATTTCCACGCCTTCCTTAGTCGGTGGTAAACATCCATTCCCTGGAATTGCTTATATAGTAGTAGGAGTATTATGTGGAATTATTGGTATTATACTTGCTGTTGAAAGTTTCTTTAATTCTAATAAGTGAGTATGAATGAGTATGCTCACAATAATTTTTTATATTATTATGGTCAGTAATGTTAATAATTTACGTATATTCAATTTTAGAAGAAGGGATCGTAGATATGCTGCGATGCAAATCGGAAATAGCCAAAAGAATATTGATTCACAATAAGTAATCTTGGATATTAAGAACAGATCATTTTATAAAAAAAATAAAATAATGTTACGGTTATAAATGAATAAAGTTTTTTTATTTGTCCAAACATTTTGTGATTTTGAAATACTTTACAGTTTTGATGTAAGTAATGACGATTAGATTTATTCATTTTTATTTATTTATTTATTTTAATGTTAAATTTTATAAAAATCTGTATTTTGCAAAAATATTTTTTACTGACGAAAAAAAAATCGATTTACGTACCGTTCTTGATAAGGTTCTTAAAGGAACCCGATGCCGAATTCTCAGAACTGTGCTTAGTTATAATGGGAATACTAAAGTCATGACCCGTGATTAATCCGTAACGTTGATCCTAAACATTAAAAATAATGAGATTAAGGATTGGGCGGTAATAATGGGTAGTCAAATTTCTACACCGTGGCTTTATAGTTGTGTGGTTTTTTAAAACACTATCAGGAATGGCACATAAATCGAATGTTCTTCCACACCATCAAGACAGTACCAACGATCCATCACAATTTGCCTAAGACGCTTAAATAAAATTAAAAAAAAGAATGGTATTAATTTAAAGATAATGTTAAAAGAGCTTCGGCATATATTGAACATGTGGCCTGACGTGGATTTTTTGATTTGGTGATTATTAAAATTTATGACAATATTTCATAAATTTAATCCAATCACTTATGTGATAATTGGCTGGCTTTGGTAATCGCACAATCATTTAATCATAATCATAGGGTCTCAAAATTATGCAAACCGCAATAATTGATCTTGAAGCCGCATTAATATTTATAAATTATTATATCATTAAGTATATCAGTTGATTTATTGCGGTTTGTGAAATTGCAGATCAAGAAACCGAGCCGCATTTTTTTGTAGAAATAAAAGCTGTTGTCTATAAAGTGATTGTCAGCGAAATAATACGAATCCCGCCAGTATGATGTTTATTTTGCTTTTGAAGCTATGCTCAAATAATGTACATTTTGCTTTTTATAATACATACCAAGATGGTATATTTTGTATATTAGGCTAGTGTGGATTAAATTTTCAGCGTTTATGCTATCTCTGCAATGATGAGACTACAGCATATTTTGCCAAGTCATTTGGTATGTCGTTGCTGAAGGCTGCCCGGAAGAGCGATGTGTTCAGGAATTAATTCCTCAAGATGTCGAGGGTTTCTGCTCCCCCCGGCTGTGCGTGGCTATAACTAAATGACGTTATATTATAGATTGAACTGCCTGATTAAACACATGTGCAAATATGGCATTGTTTATGGAAAATGTGATCACACAAATCTAACTTTTTATTGATTAATTTGCTGTAGATGGAGAACGGATATAAGAGCGTTGTAGGCTTAAAGAAGATGAAGGTGTTGAAGACAGCAAAAGAATTGGCCATTGACAATGCTCAAGAGAGATAGAACCGAATTTGAGAGCGTTGCAAACAAAACTTGGTGCTTCACAAGAATCAAACTCGGATGCATCTCTCTATAGTGCTCTCAAGAAAGGCCTGGATAATGTCGGTCCTCTTGGTCTTAAATGGAAGGATCCATTAGCAAGTATGGTTCTCAGTGATGATTCAACTTTGGTAGAGAATTTGAAACCAAGACAGAAACGCACATTTTTGGTAAATATTCTACCCAACCCTGGTTAAATTACTATATACGAGAATGTGTAATGACCTTTTATTTGTTGTTAGGCACCGGGCAAAAACATGAAATGTGATATCCCCGCATCTGTTAACAACAAATGTGAATATTTTATAAATAATTTTAATATGTTTGAAGTTTCAGATGAGATTAGAGGTGTCACACATAATTTATCATGGGTAGAAAATGAGAATGAGCTGGGAAAAAGAGTGGAACATATATTGGATACACTGTAAGTGTTTAGTTTTTTAACTATACAAATATTTTAAATAACTTCTTAATGTTTTATTTAGTGGAAAAGTGTGGAATAATCCAGCATTTTCGAGTAGTATGGCACGTAGTGAACAAAGTGAGGGCACTTATGTCACAGATGTGGTAATGCCTTTGCTTCGGGCCAGTCTGAGTGGTCTCCCAAATGGCCCTATTTGCTTGAGCTCGGCAGAGTGTCAAAGCTTAGCAAGCAAGACTCGCAAAAATGGGCAAATTGGAAAAAAGCCTGATCTTATGGCATTAATGAAATATGCAGAGAAAAATTTTGAAATTGCTTATGTTGAATGTTCCCGAGTAGTTTGCGCTAAATCAAAAAAACTGATGACAGTGTGAAACTATGGAGGGAAACATTGGATGGTTTTGCCTATGTTAATGAATCGTGTAGACCAAAAAGTAACCAATTCGGTATTGTGGAGATCCAAGTTGCGGATGAGGTTATATATCTAAATGTTATAGTAAAAGATGTGAATGGGATTCCAAGGTACTTCCATCTTGATAGTGCGGAAATTCCCCTAACTATGGATACTCTATAGCGGATAAAGCCTCTCATACGTTTATTATTAAGATTTCGTGTAAGTGGCATTGATTTTATTTTTTTTATATGGATTCTTAACTAATTCTGCCGGTTGATCACGTATGTTTTATGACACAGAATATTATAATTATAAATAAATATTTACTGACAGAGGCATTAGAACAAGCTTATACACATCTGCCTCGGAACGTCCAACCAAGTACTACTGTATCTTCTCCACGTAGAGAAGAAGGGGAACAAAAAAGTACAAGAAAGGTAAGTGACGTAAATCCTCCTTTGCATGAAGGCAGGAGTTTAAAGAAAAGAAGATAATGCAATGTTTTAGAATATATGTATCTTTTCTGTATTTGTGTTTTTTTTTTTTTATATCAATAAAGCTAACCCTAGTGGCTTGATTTCGCATGTGTATTTCGTGAATTTATTTTATTGTATTATTATCAATATATATTAACTCGCGTATGATCGGCGAGTTCCTGACCATTGGTCAGAATGTTACATAATTTTTATTTGAAATTAAAGGCGTTAACAAAAAAAATTTTTTTCAAGGTGTGTAGTAAAATTTTTTTCCAAACATTTCTAATAAAGTTATATAAATTAAGTATGCAACCACAAAGAGACGAATCTATGTACCTATCCGAGATAAATTCATTGAAGCTGGAATTGAAACAGATAGTAAAAGAAAAAAATGCACTCGAGGCTGAAAACACGAATCTGAGGCAGATTATTGAAGAGAATTCTAGACATGATGTAGAGTTTAAGAGCAAAATTGAAGAGTTGGAGAAAAGTAGAGCAGATACTGCCTCTGAGAATGCTGAGCTTAAAACTGAAGTAGTAAAATTAAGATGTGATTTCGAGAAAATCAAGTCAAAGGGAATAACCACTGATTCTCTGGAGCAATTACCAATTTCCTCATCAGCCAAAAATGAGACAGTAAGTGTTTTTACCAAAGCGAAAAATTCGAATGATACTTATGAACAGATAGACTTACGATGCGATAATACTCCTGCATCTGATATTACTAATAACGTTTCAAATTCTGATGTATCTGATAACGCTTTTTCAAAATTACCGTAAATGTGCGTATACAAGACCCGGTCTCATACATTCCACCAAAAAAATTAATTAGTAAAAAAAAGAAAATAATTAGTAAAAATTGAGGGTGGGTCTGATATAAGGGGGATCTTGTATACGCTCAATACACAATACCACCAAATTTATACGTTTACGGCATGTGCCTTATTATTTGCCATGATTACTTTGTGCCGTAATGCCGCAATGCTGTAATGCCGCAATGTCGTAATGCCGTTATATTGAAATACCATAATGCTGTTGTATTTAAATATTATAATGCTATTGCAGCAATGTGTTAAAAACTATAATGCTGCAATAACATAAATAACATAGGATAACATTCCTCTAGTGTTTATTATTTAAAAGTAATCTTTAAATTTAAAATAGCACATAGAAAATTTACTGGTTTTGTGAATAGATAATCAATAATTATCATAGTTTGTAGTGAAAGAACTTAATTTTTTTTTTTTTTTTGTTTTTACTGTTCGGTTAAGGTTATTTTCTTATAGTTGGGAATAAAGTTTGTTTTCGGATTATCCTGGAATAAAAAAATTTGGTTTTTGGATGTTCTAAATTTCCAAATTGTCCCAAATTACCCTACCGGTAATTTGTTTTATATTTTTATTACTGTATTGCGAAAGCAATTAACGATTGACGTAAATGCCCAAGCTACAGATCTACAACGTAGTTATTATATTCATGATTAAATTGGTAATAGTAAAGAATGTTATGTTATATTTCAGTCATGG